TTTAGAGAGAGAGAAAAAAAACATGAAATTGGGTGGATTGGGAGGAGGGGGAAGATCTGAAAGCAACTGGGAAAGGGGAAAGAATATGATCAAAATATATTTTATGAAAAAACAAATAATACAGCATTTGCTGCTCTTTCAGAGGATCCCAGCACCCATATCAGGTGGTTTATAACCATCTGTAACTCCAGCTCCCAAGGATCTATCACCCACTTCTGGTCTCCACAGGCATCTTCAGGCATGTGTGTGCACACATGAAGACAGCCATGCATACACATAAATGAAAAATGAAATAATTTTAAAAATATTTAAAAAATAATTATGTTAACTTTATTCATAAATGAAAACCAAGTGCTATAACTTACAGTGAAATTTGGCTCAAGGGAATGAATATTACTGCCTCTAGTTAACGGTATAATGCATGATGGTTTAGGTTAGCTTCCACGTAATTGAAGTTGGCTGTGAGTCCTAACACTTTAGAGTTTTCCTGCAGCGTGAAAGGTTGACACCCCAATTAGAAGTGAATGATTCACAACCAAACATATAATCACACAGTTTTAATTTAAATGAAAATGATATAAATGTATTGTATGAAGTAAAAAAAACATATAACATTAAAAAACTAAATTCTTTTTACATTTGTTTTTCAGTTTCTTTAAATACAAGTATATCATTAATTGCTATTGCAACTTTATCTCATTTTGTAATCATCGCTGTACACATTCATTGTTGATGTAGTGGAATTTAGATACCTGAGTTAGCATATATTTGAATTTTATCTATAATTGTACAAACAACTGAGGTACAGTATGACATGATCATACATACAACCACATAACGTTGACACTCTGACAATATCCACCCCTGATTAACCTTTTTATACCTCCTCTTCATCCTTTCCCCCTTCTGCATCCTTAGTAGTCCTTTGTTACTTTACTATCCTACACACACACACACACACAAGCAACACACCTAAATTTCACACTTGAAATAAAACTTGTAATACATGTCTTCCTTGGTGTAGCTTATTTCACTTAACATAATGATCTCAGTCAGTTTTTTCTGTTTCCAGTAAAAATCACCATGATTTCATTTTTCTTTCTGGAAAAATAAACTTTTATCATGCACATACATAGTATTTGTTACCAATTAATCTGTTGACAGGCACCCAGGCTGATTCTGTATCTTGAGTCCTGTGATTGGTGCCACTGTAGACAGATGCAAGCAAGATTTTGTATCTTCAGCTTTTATTCCTTTTAGTACACACCCTGAAGAGGCACAGCTGTATCTGCCAATAGTTCTATATTCATTTACTTATTATTCATTGAGTTCGTTATATGAGTACTGGTGTTTTGACTGTATATATGTTTGTGTAGCCTGTGTATGCAGTGCCCACGGAGGGAATAAGAGGGCATTGAATCTCTTGGCACTGGCTGTGAGCCATCTTATTGGAGCTGGGAATTGAAAGTGGGTCCTCTGCGAGAGCAGCCAGTGCTCTTAACCAGGAAACCATAACGCCAGCTCTGGTTATTATTATATAATATGTAATAAAATACATAGGGGTGTTCCACAGTAATTTGCATAGGAAACAAAGTACATTCCTCCAAGTATGTAGAAGGGATTTTTTTCCTGCTTCCTCACCAACAAATGCTTTCATAGTTGTTTGTTACTTGGTTTTACTGATGATAGCTGTTCTGAATGGGAGAGATGGACTCTCAATGTAGCTCTGATTTGCATTTCCCTGGTGGCTGAGAATAGTGGACATTTCTTCCTATATTTGCTGGCAGTTTCTACATCCTCACCTGAAAAGTTTCTCTTGTTTTGTGCATGTATTTATTGGAATGTTTGTTCTTTGGGCATTTACGTTTTTGAGTTATTTATATGTGCTGTGTCTCAATCCTCTGTTGAATATCTGGAAAATATTTCTCCCATTTTGTACATCTTCAGTCTGTCAATCACCTTCCTTCTCTGTGTGGGAGCTTTTAAATTTTACACAGTCTGGTTGGGTGATTCTTGCTGCTCTTCCCTGAGCTCTTCAGAGCCTATCCAGAACAGCGTTGTCTCTCCCTCTACACTGAAGCCTTCCCACTGGTCCAATCTTACATTAACATCTGTTCCATTTCGAGATGCTTCACAGGGATCTCATCTTAGTCTTGTACGTCTCCACCTTTCCCAGCACACCTGCTCCTCTTTCCAATTGTGTGTTCCAGGCACTTTTGTTGAGCCTCAAACAGCTGTATTGCTGTGGGCTAACATCTGGTTTCCATCCCACTGGTCTACATGTCTGTTTCTGAGCCAGTACCATGCTGGTTTGGTTTGTTTGTTTCTTACCATGGCTCTGCACTGTAGCTTGAAGTCAAGTGATGTTTCTAACATGGCCCTTTTTGCTCATTTTTAAAATGAAGTGTTTCACCATCATTTGGATGATATTTTCCTAAGATGGGAGTGACATCCAGGCTCTTTAAATACGAGCTTCAGCAAACAGTATCAGCGACTCAAAACTGCATGTCACTCTAGCTCCAGGAAATTCTCTGGTCTCTGCAGGCAACTGAACACATACATGTGTACGTACACACACACACACACACACACACACACACACACACACACATATACACACACACTGAAAAAGGGAGGAAGGGAGGGAGGAAGGTTATAAACAGCACATGCCTGTAATCCAGGCTCTCAGCTCAGGAGGTGGAGGCAGGAGGGTCTCAAGTCTTTCCAGGCAAGCCTAGGCTAAAAACAAGATCCCGTCTCTAAATAAGTCTTGCAAAAATCTATCATACAAGAGAGGGGTCGTTATGGGGAGAGGGGAGAGAAGGGGGTGGGTAGAGGAGGAAGTGGTGGGAAGAGAAAAATTAAAAAGTATGTCTGACTACATGCTTTGGTCACAGGATGTGGAGAAATCAAGTTGATACTGACCAGGGAGCTTCCTATCTGCAGGCCAGGGTTATCCGAAGACCCTGTCTCCAGAAAAAATCTTGTCTGTCCTGGCTGTCCTGGAACTGGCTCTGTAGCCCAGGCTGGCCTTAACTCACAGAGATCTACCTGCCTCTGCCTCCCAAGTGCTGGGATTAAAGGAATGAGCCACCACTGCCCAGACTTCAAAAAAAAATTTTTTTTTTGGGGGGGGGAGATACACCCAACAAAAAAAACATATCTAGAAGTCTTGATATTTGAAAACTGAACACCACACTTTGTTATTTGTGGGCACTGGAATATATCTGGGACAAGCACATTGTGAGGGCTTTCTAGAAAATTAACGGAGAAATTTCTTTCCTTTGGTGAAAACAATGTGGGCACATCCATGTGGCCACACTTCCCTTACTGTATCTATTCTGCTGTCTTTCCGATAAGCCTGGGCAATAGCCTGGAGCTTCCTCCCTCCTCTGCCATCTGCCCAGCTTTCACTGGTCTTTGAGGTGCAGATCTCTTAAGTGTTTCTTGGAGCTTCGAATGACCCTGAATGACCGTAGTGGCTGTACACCCGTCATCCACTCACACCCAAGAAAGACCGCTTTTCTCATCTTCTTCTAGCAATTCTGTCTTAAGTTACTCAACATCTTAAAACAGATGCAAAAAACACATTTGCTCTCTTCTCCAGGAGGGAATGATGCTTAAGATAGAAAGTAGGGAGTAGCGTATCTCAGAGCCAGGTGTGGTGGCACCGGCCTTTAGTCCCAGTACTAGGGAGGTAGAGGCAGGAGGACTGGTTAGTTCAAGGGCAGCCAGGTCTATATAGTTGAATCCTGTCTCAAAAATTAAAAATTAAATATTCCCTCAGGCTAGTACACAACCCTGTAGGTTACTGTCGCCTATTGTCAGTGTGCTGGGTCCCATTCCCCAAGACATAGTCGCAATCAACTCATAGTGGAAGCGCGCCTATTTAATATTTGACTTCCGTTTAGTAGACTTTCCAGAACCTACAAACTGTCTCCTTAAGGTCCCAAAGAAAGAGCATCCAGAACTAAAGCCTTTTAGGGGTTTTAAGGGTTTGGGGTTTCTGCCCCCACTGTAGAAATCTGTTCATTAAAAAAGCAGGGGTTGCCAGGCAGTGGTGGACACACCTTTAATCCCAGCACTCTGAAGGCAGAGGCAGAGGCAGAGGCAGGTGGATCTGATATACAGAGCTAGTCCCAGGACAGCCAAGGCTACACAAAGAAACCCAATCTCGAAAAACCAAAAACTAAAAATAAAACAGCAAGAGCTATTGGGTAAGGGGACCTTTCCATTTGGACAGAAAACAAGCTTAGGTCAAGCACCTGCACAAGGATGTCGATGACGTGTAGCCCTTTACTCAAGTTCCTGCGAACCCTGAAGCGCCTCCTAGACCCTCACTCATGCTCTCCCTAAAAGGAGACAGGGCTGCAGAGATGGCTCATCATGTCAGCTAAGGACTATTGCAGAGGACTCAGTTCAGTTCTCAGCACTGGTCCAGACCAGCTGGATCAGGGTTCCAGACACAGTCCCAGGGAGAGGACGGGGGGGAGCAAAAAAAGAGAGGTAACAGGAGTCAAAAGCTGGGGTCAGGAGAGCTACCAGTGACACAGCTCTTCGTACCTCTCACTCGAGGAAGCAGAAAAGTCAGTAAAGAGCTTCTGACAGAGCTCAGATATGTTAGGTTCCCCCTCAGCAAGGTGCACTATGGGAAGGCAAATGGAGCATTTCACATCTGTATCTGGAACATCTGATCACATACATAGGTGGGAAATGTCAAGGGCCAGTTCCCACACTACAGCCCCCCAGACCCTGGCACCAGTCCACAGCTGGCACCACCCCGGCTGAGGGGCGAAATGCCTGCATCCCAACATCAGGGCCTCCAGGTGGTCTCCAATCCAGTCTAAACCTCAGTATAGTACCCACGCCGGGTAGCTCAGTCACCTATGACTCCAGCTCCAGGAACAGCCGATGCCTTCCACTTACATGCACATACACACAGACCTGCCAACACACATATAATTAAAGGTCAAATCTTCAAACGACAGAGGGACAAGACATTAGCAGGGTCTTTCTTTATTCAACAGCAGCTTGGAGCTGATGCCTCCATCCTCTGAGAGCAGACATTTCCCCCGATCCATTTCACTTCTCCGGGTCTTTGCAGGCTCTAGCCTGATGCAGGAAAGAGCACCTTTTTATATGTACTTGTACACGACCTTGGAGGGCACAGTCTGAAGGTGGAGTCGCACAGGACACTTGTACAAGTGTGACAACAGAGTCTCACTGTAGCCCACAAGAAAGTAGAATTTGTGTGCTGGCAGCTGCCTCAGGACCACGGCACAGATGTCCACCTGGTTGGCCCGGCGCTTCAGAACGATCTGGTCAGCCAGGCAGCCTGGAAAAGTGCCCAACATGAACTTCCGAAGGAAAACATCTTCCAGTGTTCTCTCTGCAGCATGATCTTCTCCATCCAGGTTACCTGAAGAGGATGTCACAGAAGAGTCGGCTAAGGGAGCTGCACAGACTCCAGACCTCACATTCAACAGGACTAGACAATTCCATCCCTTGCCCACAGCCATTTCCCTTTTCTTCTAATGGAGGAAGACTAATATCTTAAATTCAAAGCACAAGGATGCCAAGATGGCTCAGCAGGTAACAGTGCTGGCTGTGACAGTCTAACGACCGAGTTCAATCCCTCAGCACACTGTAAGAAGCCAGCCGCACTTCCAATACTGTAGCCGCACTTCCAATGCTGGGTCCCTCTGCTCTCGATCACGAGTAATCCCATTAAACTCTAGTCCACACCTTCCCACAGGAAAGCCTGATGCAATCACACATCTGTAAGCCCAGCCAGCACTCTTACAGGGAGGTGACAGGTGGAGACAAGAATTGCCCAGGACCTCAACAAACAGATGCCTGGAGTACAAACCACAGCAGACACAGAGACACCCTGTCGACAAGGTGCAAAGAGACAACTGGCTCCTGAAAATTGCCCTCTGCCCTCCACAGAGACAATGGCACATAGGGGCATGCACTTGCACACAATACAAAGTGAAATAAAATTCAAAGCACCACATCATTTCCCCAATCAGTCCTTTGAAGTCAGTGTATCACCATCCTCATTTTACAAAAGGCTGAGACAAGCTAGAGCACAAAGTTGGCTACAACCCCCATCTAGAGTTAGCCCCCTTCCCATCTCAATTGCATGAGTAATCCCACGGCCAGACAGACAAGGCCACTATCTACTTCTGAACTAGCTCTATTAGGCTTCACGTCCACCTGTGGATGGATCTGCAGTCTGAGCCCTGGGTACCTGCAGCCATGCAGTGTACTTTCAAGACTCTGACCGCAGGAACCCACGGCTGTATCTTAACATCTTTTTGGGAGGGAAGGGGCTGGGCATTGAACCCAAGAATCTGTATTTTAAATGTTTTACATGTGCATCCTGTTGAATGTTATGGTGAGAACTCATATGCTGAACAAAAATACAGATTCTCATTGGTTCACAACAGTTGTGGTCTACATCACTACACAGAGCTAGTGAGTTCTGGGCCATTGCCCCCAGTGGTAATGCACAGCAAGGTTTGTACAGTCACAATATTTTATCAACAGATTAATACATAATTAATTTTATGTGTCCTATTAATATATATGGTTGACTCATTAATACTGAGCTCTGATAACACAGGCCCAAGTACAGTTTATCTAACAAACACTTTCTCCATAAGGCATGTCAGTCTTCTTCAGCTCACAGGAACACTAGACAGCATTTCAAGGCCACTCAAAGTGCCATATCCCCAGCATAGGGCACAGTAGTGTCTGAAATATGGCTCTAGACTACCAAAAGGGCACTTCTTACATAAGCTTCTTCTACCCAGCTGGGAACCCACAGGTGAGCCTCACTCTGCCCACATCCCCGAATGACCATGAGTGACTTTGAGGTTACAGGTAAATTTTAATCAGTGTAAGAATCTGCAAGGGCTGAGCTGGGCAGGTGGCTCACTGGGTGGACAGTCTACTGTGTGGGCAGGCGGCTCACTGGTGGACAGTCTACTGTGTGGGCAGGCGGCTCACTGGTGGACAGTCTACTGTGTGGGCAGGCGGCTCATTGGGTGGACAGTCTACTGTGTGGGCAGGCGGCTCACTGGTGGACAGTCTACTGTGTGGGCAGGCGGCTCATTGGTGGACAGTCTACTGCATGGGCAGGCGGCTCACTGGTGGACAGTCTACTGCATGGGCAGGCGGCTCATTGGTGGACAGTTTACTGCATGGGCAGGCAGCTCATTGGTGGGCAGTTTACTGTACTATTATGAGGATTCACACACAGGTCTCACCTGTGGATACCAGCAACTGCAATCCCCATGCTCCTACTGTGAGATGGAGCACAGAGGCAGGAGAAACCCCAGAAGCTCGCATGCCAACTAGCCTGGCACACACAGGTGGTGACAAAGAAACCTGTCTCAAACAAGATGAAGGCAAGGACTGGCCTGAGGATGTCTTGACTTTCACATACATGCAGTGTTATACATGGACATCTGCACTCACACATGAACATGGATAGACATTTTACACACGAATACCATATATACAGATTATTAAATTACACACACACACACACACACACACACACACACACACACACACAGACTGGGAGTTGAAACTCCAGCATCTCAGAAAATAAATAGGCTGGTGATAGGGTGTATACCTATATTCACAGCACTGATAAAAATGAGGCAGAAGTATGTGAGCTCCAGGCCAGCCTGAGATACACTGCCACACTCACTTAAAGATGGTTCTGCAGGGGCTGGAGAGATGGCTTAGAGGTTAAGAGCACTGGTTGCTCTTCCAGGGGTCCTGAGTTCAATTCCCAGCAACCACATGGTGGCTCACAACCATCTGTAATGAGATCTGGTGCCCTCTTCTGGTACACAGGCAGAATACTGTATGCATAATAAATAAATCTTAAAAAAAAAAAAAAAAAAAGATGGTTCTGCAGGTAAGGGTGCTTATTTGATTCCTGGGACCTATATGGTAGGAGAGAACTGACTCGGACAAATTGTGGATACACACACAAACACACCATGCATACAAAAATGTAAATGAATAAGAAAAATAAACTAGTGAGGAGAGGAAGAGAAAATAGAAGTCTGCAAATACAGGTTCTATGAGCAATGAAGACTAAATGTGGAACATTGTGCAGAGGCTGTGCTTTGGTGAATGCTGCATTATTTAGGGCACGCTCTTCCCTGGTCTAGGATTCTATGTAGACTTCACTCCCTCATTACCGCTGAGTTATTACACATCTCTGTAAATTACGGCTGACCATAGCAATGTCAAATCTGGTTTGTAGGCACGCAAATAATGTGTTCTCTGGAGGCCCAATTGAGACTTTAACTCTCACAGAACAAGGAATGTTCAAATTCCAACATCCTTACCTGTGGGTCACACTGTAATTGTGGGTTGCTCCCTCAATGGATGTATGGAGGAAACCAGGGGTGAACAGCCAACGTGTTCCTCTGTCACTCTCCATTTCCACTTATTTACTTGTTTGTTTGTTTTTTGCAAAGCAGCTGCTCTTTCAAGACTAGCTGTCCAGTGACCCCAGGACGGCCTGTCTCCTCCATCCTCGCATCCCTGAGCAGTGGTTACAGCCCCACCAGGTTTTCATTTGGGAGCTGGCGAGGGCCCGCATGAGTAAGCGACACTGCACTTTACTAATCCTTACTCATCTTTCCAGCCCCATAACTAAATGTCTTTTATTTTATCTTCTTTTTTGCGACATGGTCTCACTACGTAACCCTGGCTGGCCTTAAACTTGAGTTCCGCCTCCTGAGTGCTGGGATTAAAGGCGTTCGCCATCACGCCCAGGCCCCTAACCAAAAATTCGGATCTCAGCCTTAAAGAGCAGGTTAAAGTGTCACCCGTGCCACGTTTCAGTCAGACTGGGTGGTGGTCCTTCCCAGGTGCCCTCACCTGTGTGCAGCGACAGCCAGCCCTTTCGGTGCGCGATGTGGTGCGGGGCGTGCGCCTCCTCGTAGCTCACGGGCTTGTCCCCCTTGGCCACGCGGACTCTCGCCGCCCGGTTCTAGGAGCAAAAGGGCCATCGTGGGGCAGCCGTCCGTCCCCAGCGCGCCCCCCGCCTCAACCCCCCAGCCCGCGGGGCGGCCCGCTGCACTCACCTTGGCGCAGACCGCGGAGGTGTGCAGGGCGCGCCAGGCGCCAGGCAGCTCCCGGCTGCACGCGAGCACCTGCGGAGGGACGGGACGTGCGTGAGCGGACACCCCCCGGCGCCCCCAGCCCTCCCGCCCGCAGCCCACTCACCCGCAGCCCCAGCCCGCGGACGGACGCGGGCGACGCCATGTTGGACCGGCGCAGCGCTGGACGCGTCAACGCGCAGCCGCAGGAAGGAGGAGCCGCGGGGCAAGAACGAATAGGAACCCGGGCAGGGGGCGGGGCGAGACGTGGAGGGCGGGGCCTGGGTGAGGGAGAAGGCGGGGCGTGGGCGGGGTGAGGCGGGTGCCCTGAAATTTCCCTGGTGGTGCTATAAAACATGAGGTTTTTACCCTCAAGGAGCTGGTAGTAGGAGAGGCTTCGCGTCTTGCAGAGAATTGAGGAAACGCGCCGGCCCTCAGAGCCTGCCCTTCCAAGCTCCCGCTCCCACCTGCGCCAGCTTTTTTGCCTGAAACTCCAGCATCAACCACCCTTGGGCTGGGAATACAGATGTTGACCTTCATCTGAATAGATCCCGGAGAAGAGGTTGCTGGGCTGGCTCCTAATCTTTTAAAGTAAGGGGAAAGAGAGACAATGTATTGAGGATGTAGCTCAGCGGTAGAGCCAGCCGAGAAAGAAAATTTTTAAATGGCAAGGAAATTTATGAGGATATGGCAGGGCCTGCTAATGCTCAAGCTAGAGCGATGCAGATGTAATTAGTATCTAGAAGTGATTAATGGTGGGGAGAGGGGCAGGGGAGGGAATTAGCATCGTGGATATTTTATTTTAGAACTCACTGTACTAAAGAAAGCACATGGGCTCTACAGTCTGACTCTCATGATAACAAAATCTACTAAGAATGACAGGCGCCTTCAGAAGTGAACTCTTTTTAAATAGCACCTTCAAGGCATCCTTTCCCTCCGGGTTTGGTGATATAAGCCTTTAATCCCAGCACTCAAGAGGCAGAAGCAAGCAAATCTCTGAGTTCGGGGCCAGTCTGGTCTACAGAGAAATCCTGTCTAAAAAAAGAAAAACCTTTATGTCTTGGCTATATTTATTTTGACTTTGCACTCACCCAAAGGCAAACGTTACATTTGTACAGTTCACCCTCGGTTCCATTATATAGAAAACGAACATCTCACCAAAGGGCTAGTGAGACGGCTCAGCTGATAAAGCACTTGTCGCTCAAGCCTGTTTCCCTGAGTTCCATCCCCAGAGCCCTTGTAAAGGTGGAAGGAGAGGACCTCCCTGTGGTGGTATGAATGAGAATGGCCCCATTAGGCTCCAATCACCAGGGAGTGGAATTGTGGGGGAAGGATTAGGAGGTGTGGCCTGATTGAAGGAGATGTGTCACTAGGAGTGGGCTTAGAGGTTTCAAAAGCCCACACCAGCCTCCCCACCCACCCACCCCCGGCCTGCAACTTGGGGATCAGATGTAAGTTCTTAGCTACTGCTCCAGCACAATGCCTGCACTTATCTGACTGCATGTTGCCATGCTCCCCACCATGATGATAATGGCTAAACCTCTGAAACTTTAAGCCAGCCCCCAATTGACGTGGTCATGGTGACTCTTCACATAGAACAGTAACTAAGACACTCCCCTACAAAGCTCCACAAGCATCCTTGAGTACACACACACACACACACACATAACTTAAAAAAAAACAAAACAAAAAACACTTCTTTGAGCTGTTAGGATGAGGAAGGCTTTTAATAGTCAGGCATAGTGGCTCACTCCTATAATCCCAGCACTTGGGAGGCTGAAGCAGGAGGACTGCTTTGAGTTCAAGGCTATCCTCGTGTATAGAGAGACTGTCTCAAAAACAAACAGAAGAGAGCATTTAGTGAATGGCAGCTGGTATTGGTTCCATTTGCTGAACCGTGTGAAGCTGCCACCATCTGGCTGTCGGGATATGCATGGGTCACCTGATGGTAATAGTACACTAGTGTTTCCTGAGGGAGGGAGATTAGACCTACGGGGTGGGAAATGGAAACAAAGGTGGATGGTTAGTTCTTGCAGGGGCAGAGTGACCAGTCTATTGGCTCCCATCTGTGTTTTGAGGGTTAAAATTTCTTTGACCACTTGAATCTGGAGTACCTTCATCTGGACCTCACTGGGAATGTTTTATTCTTAATTTTTTTAGACTACAGCCTCCAACTGTTCCAAATATTGGATAAGGGGACTTACAGGGATGTGGCCTTTTTCAAATCCATAGTCGCTTGCAAATGTAAAATCTTGTAATTTTTCCTAAATAATTCTTTTAAGCTGTTTTCCCTTCAAAAGTTGGCATAAAAAAAAAAGTTGGCATAAAGTGTGATGATTTTATAGTTTGACAAATTATATAAATTTGCTCCAACATGGAGAGAGAGAGAGAGAGAGAGAGAGAGGGTATCCAGCATCTGAACTATCCAGATCCAAACTTGAACTCACTCCCTACCTGTGTAACATGAGCAATGACAACCTCCCTCTGTCCAAGCTTCCTCATATGTAAAATAGAGTCAGTAATGGTTACGTGGGGCTGGGGGTGTAGCTCTGTGGGAGAGCACATATGTAAGGCTTTGGGCTCCATCCCAAGCACTTGAAAAAAAATGTGGGGGCTGGAGAGATGGCTCAGCAGTTAAGAGCACTGGCCTCTCTTCCAGAGGGCCTGGGCTCAATTCCCAGCACCCACATGGCAGCTCACAACTGTCTCTAACTCCACCTCCAGGGGATCTGACACCCTCACACAGACATACATGCAGGCAAAACACCAATGCACATAAATAGAAAAATTAAAGAAAAATGTGAAAACCATATTCCCAGAGTGAGAAATTTAATGTCTGGGTTTGTTTGGCTGGTTGGTTAGGACCTTATTGTTTCTTTTGCTTGTTTTTGTTTTATTGGTCTTCTGAAGCAAAAAGAGAAAGAACAGAGCCTTGGGCTACCCTTGAGTCTCATAAAGGTGAAATGACAAAGTCATAAACTCCCTCAGCTCAGCTGGCAGCAGGAGGTGGGGCCAGCTAATGAGCAGGGCATGAAGACTGCTTGAAGTTCTGTGTCCCCTCCAAGCAAGAGGCATTAGCACAATCAAATGTATTCTCTCTATTGAAGCCACATTATGCTGGGGGTCTTCCTCGATCACTCCTCACTATATTAACTGAAGCATGGGCAGAGCTCATCAATTCAGCTAGTCTAGCTTGGCAGCTGGCTACAGGGGTCCCGTCTTCTTACTTTTGTCTTGTGTTCGTTGTAGGAGGCTGTGAAGCTCTAAGTGGCCTACAAAGACCATCTGCCTCGGCCTCCCAAATGCTGAGATTAAAGACATGCATCACCGTGGGATGACAAGCTTTGGTGTGGATTTTAGGCCTCCCAATTCTGATCCTCATGCACAGCCAACATTTTACCCACTGAGTCATCTCCCCAGCCCAACCAGTGGAAATTTCATTTTTAACATTTATTTTTGTGTGTGTCTGTGAGTGTATGCCAGGTGTGTGCAGGTGTGGTGGAGGCCAGAAGAGGATGTAAGATCCCCTGGAGCTAGGGAGTTGTGAGCTGCCTGGTATGGATGCTACAAGTGCAGGTCCTCTGGAAGAGCAGAAAGTGCTCTTAACTGCTGAGCCATTTCCCTACCTCCAGGTGGGAACTTTTTAAGGGAGACTTTTTTTTCTATAGCATGCACTTGTTTTATTGCTCTCCATTCCTCCCATCCATCATGCTGAAGCAGTAAAACCAGGCTTTACAGATGAGACGATGGAGGCTCCAGATTCATCGTAGCCAGGTGCGGCCTTGTCAGAGCATATGCTCTTCTTGTATCTGGAGTTCCTGCACCACTTTTGGTAGGGTGAAAGTTCAGAACCATGGTAGGATGAGGGGGTGACCCCAGCTTTTTGTGGCTAGGTGATTGGCTGCTGGGTATGGAGCAGCCTCAGCCAGCAGCAATCCCCACACGAATGGCCACAACACCCCTCCAGGCCCAATGCCAAGCTGGAGGTATGCACTGCTTTCTCTGATGTAAGTTCTTGTTCTCCACATGACAGGAGCCTAAGCAGCCTACATGCTCCAAAGTTCCAGACTCCGAGAGCCCAACCAGCCTCATCTCTGCGAGAAAGTAGGTGCATATGCTTTTTGAAATCCCCTCAGATTACAGTTTGCAGTGGAGCTGTGAACTAGTTAGATGGTGATGACGATGATTACTATTTTATGTGTGTGATTATTGCCTGCATGTATGTATACCCACCACATCTGTGCCTGATAACTGGATGGGAGGCCAGAAATGGGCATCGGTTATGAGCCACCATGTAAGTGCTGGAACAGAACCCATGTGCTCTGCTGCAGCAAGTGCTCCAGACCACAGGGCCATCTCTCCAGCCCATCAACTAGTCTTAACTCATCTTTTTAGGAGGATGTCCCAAACCCCGAAACCACTATCTGCAGGCCTTCCTGAGGGAAAGACTGTGGCACTCTTCTACCTGGTCCGCCAGGTAGAGGAAGGCCCTAGCTGTAGTCTAGACATCTTAAAAATTATCTATCCCTGCACGTGCAACGGTGTTCAAAGACTGAGCTATGGAGTGACTTTGTGCAAGAACCAACAATCCAGCCAGGAACACAGGGAGTATTTCCTGGAGTCACTAGAATCCAGTAAGCAGAGGCAACAGCTTCTGTTGTGTTCTTCTCACTTTCCCAGTGTGGTCCAATCTGCTCTCTAGTTCATATCATTTCACCTCGGCCTCCCAAGTGCACCATCAAACCCAGTCACTGGTTCTCTTTACAACTGACTTAAATCAACTCAGAAGGGCTGACACTCACTTTTTCAACCTGCTTCCTGGTCATTCATCTTACCCAGCCAGTAAACAAGAACCCCAGTGCTTTTCCTGAGAAGTTGACCACTGAAACTCTCAAGTGAAAGCAGAAAGGAGTGCCACAGGAGGCTGTGCAGCCTCCTCCTTCCTCCTGTGGAGGCACAGGGAAAAGAGGCTAGTGTGTGGCTTAGCACACTACAGTTAGCTTCAGCTCTGAGGCCCTGAGAATGCTCTCTCCTGACCAACATCAGAGCCAAGGAGTCACACTGAGTCCAGCTGAAGTTTGACTGTCAAGAGCAGATCTGAAAGCCTCTCATAGGTCTTGGCCTAGAAACATCAGCCCTTCAAATGTGCATGGTGAGCATGCAAGAGACTTCCTGGAAGTCACCCAGCTCAGGCTGACCTCTAAATCTAAGTGTCAATGGTCTCAGCTTGACTCTAACAGTCACAGAAGTCTTCTAACATGTCCTGCTTTCAGGGGAGCCTCCACAACATCTCACTGAGAGTCATCTGTTAGCCAGGCTGACACATAAAGCAGATGGGTCCTAACGATATATGGAGTAACTTTATTAATGAGTTTATTGCTGTTTGGCCTTTTGTTTCATTTGGAGACAGGGTCTGGAGCTCACTATGTAGACCAGATTGACCTTGGACTTACAGGGGTCAGAGGTTCCCTGCCTCTGCCTCTTGAGTGGTTGAGCTATTTTTAGATAGGTTCTCACTATGTGACCCAAGCTGGCCTTGAACTATCCTCTTTCCTCAGTTTCTCAAATGCTCAGAATACAGATATGTGCTACCACACCCTGTCCTATGTGTCCCTTGAAACTTCGATGAAATTTATAAAATTACAAACTCTGCATATATCTAAATCTTAGGAATCCAGAATGAATTTAATTTCTGGGCTGTGGAGAGACTTCATGTAAAAACCCTTTATCTTCTCGGAGATGGGGGGACCCTGAACTTTGGACCCTTGTCTCTCAAGCACTGGCACAACAGCTATGCACCAGCAATCCCAGCTAAACTGTAATGAATCCTGCCTTCCTTGTCCCAGATTTTAGGGACAGTATGAAACAATCTTTAAGGATGCTGGTTGAAATTCAACAATTCCTGAACTTCTAAGAGTGGGACTCTGAAGGTTTCATTATTAGCATGTGTGACTATGATGTGTATACAGGGGAGGCAGCATGGGATGGCATTGTGGAGGTGGTAACTACCCTAGTTTTATTATTAGCATGTGTGCCTATGATGTGTACACAGGGGAGGCAGCACGGGATGGCACTATGGAGGTCAGTGGACAGCTTTATGGAGTTTGATTCTCTCCTCCAGTTTTACGTGAGTTCCAGGGATCGAATTTAAGTTGCCATGCTTTGCTCCAAGTGCTTGTAGCCCCTAAACTATCTCACAGGCTCTACATGCAACAATTCTAAGAGGTATTTCCTGTGCTTGAACTTGAACTTGGAGCTAGGAATATGCTGGGTGAAATTCCTGCAATGCAGGAGGGTACCAGGGAAGTTTCTGTGGCTCTGGTAGGAAAAGTGTGTGTGTGTGTGTGTGTGTGTGTGTGTGTGTGTGTGTGTGTGTGTGTGTTTACCGTTGTTGTTTGGTTGGTTTGGGTTTTGTTTTTGTTTGTAGTCCTGGCACCCTCTCTGTACACCATACTGGACTCAAACCCACAGAGATCCGCCTGCCTCTGCCTCCTGAGTGCTGGGATTAAGGTGTGCATCACCACACCCAGCTGGCAGAAGTGAAATTTTTAAAAAGGAGAAGAAAGGTTTGTTACTTCCAACTGATTCAACGTGTTGAGTCATTTTAACAGTCTAGGCAGATCAAAGTTTCTAGATCTGAGAGTCAGATTCCCCTTTTCCGAACCTGGTCTAAGAGCCAGTATGCGAAGTTTCAGGATTGCTTCCCTCTTCCCACATGTTCTGTCCCACTACCAGATTACAGGGCACCAAGTGGTCATCCCGGGACACCCAGGGAGCCAGGCCAGCAGGAGGGTGACAGCAGGGCCTTTGGTTCAAGAAAAGGTTCCAGACCAGAGGGTGGCTGAGTACCCTGGAACCAAGGGCACCTTTGCTGGGTCTAATAAAGGGACAAGACTCACGGTGGGGCTCTCAGGCCACTGCCTGACTTCTCTGAAGACAAGAAACATAGACAAAAGGAAACCCCAAAGCCTCAGCAGCAAGGCACAGTTAAGCAGAACCCCCTAGGCCTGAGATGTAGGTGGAGTGGGGCTCTGAAACTCAGTGAAGTGATGGCTGATTCCAGCTGAAGAGCCAGCAGGGTGAAAGCTCAAGCCCTCACCAAGTATCTGTCTCTCACGGTGGCCACTTTGCTGGGAGAGACCTGAGGATGCACAGCAGGTCCTCTCCACTCATGCCCCGCCATGCAGGTACTGCGGTCCGGGGCTTCCTTCTCTGTCAACCACAACATGGGTAGGGACCAAAGTGCTGAAGTGCTGAAGGCATTGTCCCCAGACCCTCCTCAGGCAGAAGCTGTTGTCCTGAGCACAAGGATAATGAAGGCACAGACAGGCAAAACCTACACACTATTGTCATTTGAGCATTCACCCAACTCATCAATTCAACAAACATTTATTAAGCGCCTATGTGTGCCAGGTCCTAGGGACCCAGAGCTGTACGGTGCTTAGGTCCTGCCCTCAAGCAGCTCACAGTCTAGGGGCAGACAGTAAACACACAAGTGACAATGTGCCATGAAGTGTGGAGGAAGGATGACAGAGTGCTGGAGCACACAGGGTGACTGCTGAACACTTCCTGGGCAAGGGTCGGGGACAAGCTCAGTGCCACGGCAGTGCCTTGCACCTTGGCGCCACGTGTCACCGAAACCTTGAAGGCTGGTCCACAAAGGACCTGGGGACTGAATGGAAGCAAAGCCTCTTTTGCTTCCCGGGAAGAGCCCGCAGCATCCCTGCCTGCCAGCACCTGCGGTGACTGAGGGAGCTGTTCCCTAATTCCAGGGGCCAGTGAAGGGGCAGCTACCCAGGGGGCCAACTTCCAGGAGCCTTGATGGGCTAGGAACAGAGAACTCACTGCTTGTACCACCCCGCCCTGGGCCTCTATTCGCAGTGTTTCTGAGCGGGTTTGAGACTGCTTCTTAACACTGTGGAGAGGCCCTTAATTCCTGTCTGTCACTAGTCTTCCTTCTCAGGTGCCAATTACAGCCTTGCTGGCTGCTGTCACAACAGGCCACAGCAGGAGGCCCTACCCTCAAGACATTCACAGCCTCCTCACCAGCTCAATGAGCTGCTGGATGTTTTTGTTTTGGTTGGACAAGCCATTCCTGATGTTTTCTAGCAGGCATCTCTTCAATTCAAAGATGGCCTCACTGTAGCCCAGGCTCACAGCAGCCATGGGTGGTGCTCCATGCCACAGGGCTGGGATGTGCCAGACGTGCTGCCTCTCTGCCAGGCCTGCCAGTGTCCGGAAGCTACCACCCTGCTTCTCCATGTGGGTAGCAGCCCTGCTCAGGTCGCTGGGCGGATCCAGGAGCTGCCTCCTGTCTCTCGGCCTGGGACTGGGGACGGAGAAGTCATGAAGGTTCTGGTACACAAACTGATAGTTGGGCATGTGCCCCGTTTTTTCTAACCTTAGAAAAGCATGAAGAATAGCTGGTGGAATGTCCTTCGTCTCAGCTAAACTGACCACAGTGACATTACTTAGCCCCATTAGCAGCGTGGCCAAGGAAGCCTCCAGTTCGAACCTGTCTCCAGCAGAGGCCAAGGCCCCACTGATCAAACCCCCAGAGTCGATTACCAGGATTTGGTCACAGCCCAGGTCCTGGCTGAAGCCCTCAGCCACAGGGAGGAGCTGCATGAAGGACCCCCGGGGACTACAGCTCCTTCCTGTGGCAAACCGCAGGCCAAACATGGTGTTAAGGAGTGTAGATTTCCCTGTGCCTGGCACCCCCAGGGCAGAGAGAACCACTAATCGAGATCTCCTGTCTAGGCGAACATGCAGCTCCTTGAGAAGCCCAGTGACCCAGCGAATAGGGATGCTCAGGGTGGCCCCATCGACCAGCTCCAGAGGCAGCCCACCCAGAAGCAGTTCCACAGCCAGGCCTGGGAAGTGGGCAAAGCGCCTCTGAGCAGCAGGCAGCCTCCCTGCCTCCACCAGGCAGCTCTCCGCCTCATAGAACTGCCCCATCTCCCGCAGAAAGTGCTCCACTCCCAAGGGCTCAGGCCAGAGTGGATCATTCAAGTCTGAGGCCCCACCAAGTTTCGGTCTCAGGGTGAGGAGGGTCTCTGGAGGCTGTCGTGGCCGAGGTGAGCCTAGTCGGGCTAGCCCCCACTCCATCCACCTCAGGAAGTACTGCCTCTCACCCGGGGAGGGGCTGCTTATCCCCAGGATGAACTCCCGCACCCCTGAGGTGGGCTCCTGGCCATTCTGCTGGACCCGGAGCTCCAGGACCCGCCGTCTCAGCTCAGCCCGGTGCTTCTCCGGGGGCTCCGAAAGCCACTGGAGCTGGCAGAACTCCCTTTCAACTTGGGCTGCCTTCCTGGCAGGGTCCCCCTGCAGCCTCAGCTCGTCCCTCTTGTAGGCATCCACATCCTGGATCTTCCTGATGATCTTCTCCATCCGGTCCTTGGCCTTCTGACACTCCTCACAGTCCTCGTCAACCCTGAGGCCCAACTTCCGGGCCGCGTGTGCCATGTCCTCCACAGACACCCGCCTGCAGGGAGAGCGGGCCACACCGCATATGATGGCTCGGATCCGCCTCACGAAGCTCTCGCTGTCAGTGCTGCTGACCTTCACGAGGACGTGAGAGTGGTCGATCTTGAGCACAGGGATCAGCCTGTTGAGGAAGCGCAGGTTCGTGTTCCGTTTCCCGCGGTAGGGACTCAGGATGAAGTAGTACTTTGTGGTTGACTCCTTCATGGAGTACAGCAGTTTGTATTCCTTCTTACTGATGTTGTCCGTCAAAATAAACACAGCGGAGGAGACTTCTGTCAAGAGCTTGAACTGCAGCCAGTGAGACCCAATGTCACCTCTCAAGTTCAGAAAGGCCATTGGCTCTGGGAAAACATCCAGGTCCTCCTTACCACTGGGGAAAAACCAGGAGATTTCTACTAACCCATCGGCAATCTCTCGAGGATTGGTGCCTAAATTGAGGTCCCGATGCCAGAAGCAGTCCCACTGCCGGCGGGCCGGGCTGAGGATGGCATTGAGCAGCTGGGACTTAGAGTTGCTGCTGACGTCCATGCGCACGAAGGCAAAGGTGGGCGCCCTGGACAGGACCGCACTGTCTTCTCGAAAACTCCCAAGGCCCCGCGGGGGCTGGAAACACCACGTCCGCACAACCCCCCGCAGGGCCCAGAGCAGAAAGGTGTGGTAGTGGTTTTCTGAGTCAGGCAGCACAAGTGGGAGGGCGAACTGGCAGAGGGACATCTTCAGCAGGACCTCCTGCTGCAGGAAGGTGTCTGAGGACAGCAGGAGGGCGCAGAGGAGGTCCAGGGGGTTCACAGGCGTGTCAGGCATGGGCAGCTCGGAAAAGGAGTAGATGTCATCGGCAGCAATCTCCTCAGCTGGGTCCCAGTAGATCATCTCCTCCTCCATCTGGCTCTCTTTCTCTGCCGGCCAGGCATCTGGAGGCATGTCCAGCACCATGGTGGTGTTCCTGGCCTCAGCATTAAGGGCCTGCAGCTTCCTGAGGAAATGCCAGGGAAGGTCCTTGGGGACCTGAGGAGCCCAGTTCTTCATGCTGTCAAAGCTGATCTGCAGGGAGTCCTGGAGGGTGAGCTTCTGGACCTGGTATGTCTCCAGTCCCAACAAGGACAGCATTTCCTGAAGCCTGCTTCTCTCCACTGCAGGAAAAACAAAGACATCAATGTTCACCCTTTGTTCTCAAGTCAGGGTCTAGGTAGAGCTGGAGAAAAGCCTAGCAGGGAGGGGTTGGAGAAGACATTCCTCAGAATAGGAGGCAGGTCCAGGGGACCAGGATATGCTGGGAAGATCAGGGCACAAGGTAAAAGCCTCTATATAAGAAGGTAAAATCACCTAACTAAAATGTATCAGACATTAACTATATAGGAAGGAAGATGGGCTGGCAAGATGACTCGGTGGTTTAAAGCACATATTGCTTCTCCAGAGCAAAGCAAAAGGCCAGAGTTCATTTCTCAGCACCCTCTTTAGGTAGCTAACCCTCCTTATAACTCCAGCTCCAAGGATCCCACAGCCTCTGCAGGCACCGACATCCACATCCACATCCCCACACAGACACAAACAACCAGACACATAACTAAAACTAATCCACAGCCAGGCATGATGATTCATGCCTTTAATTCCAGTACTAGGGAAGCAGAGGCAGACAGATCTCTTACAAATTCAAGGCTAGCCTAGTCTTCGCAGAGCATCCCAGGCCAGCCAGGATCACACAGAAAGACCCAATCTTAAATAAAGAAAGAAACAGAGATGGGGTGGGGAGGGAGGGAGGGAAGTGAGGGGGAACAGAGAAACTGAGGAGTTATATCTAGAAGTCAAGAAAGTTCATGTTAATGCAGTGATTTTTAGTTTTTCTAGATAGCTGCAACATCTAACTCTGAGCTCAAACATAAGCAATTAGAATGAGCCGCACATGTTCTCTAGGTGCTGAACTCCACTTCTCAGACCTTCTCCACTTGTCAGACCTCAAACCAGTTACAAGGTCATCTACCCCTCATGCTCTAGCCCAGTCAGGAATCTGGGGGGCATGTTGGAACATGCCTGGAACTCTAGCACTCAAGAAGTTGAAACAGGAGGATTGATGCAAATTCAAGATGCGCATGGGATACATAGCAAAAAACTGCCTCAAAACCTGGAGGGAAAAATGTCACCAAGAAATTCCCAGGAGGGTACAACCACTATTTACACTCTGGGTTGCCGGTAAATGATTTTGGGGATTTTTTGGTTTTTTTTTTTGGGGGGGGGAGGATTTGTTTTTATCTTTGTTAATAAACTAGAGACTATTTTTAAAGGAAAAGAGCAACCACTGCTCAGCACCCTTTTGCAAATCCAAAACCGGACTGGCTTGTGTTGTGATTTGGGATTTTTGTGGTGCTGAAGATGGGGGAGCCCTCTGCATGCCAGGCAAATGCTCTACCATGAAGCTATATCTCCAACTTTATTCATGTATCAAGATACATAAACATATATATATTTAAGTTTTTATTCTTAACTTTTAAAGTTTTATTTCTGTTTGTTTTGAAACAAGGTTGTTCTAGACAGCCCTAGCTCTCCTGGATCTCACTATATAGCCCTAGCTATCCTTAATCTATATAGACCAGGATGGCCTCAAAAGTATAGATCTATCTGAGCACTGGGATTAAAGGTGTACACCACCACACCCAGAGAGCTCTTGATATTTTTAAGACAGTCTCACTATGTACCTCATACTAACCTCAAAATTGTTAGTGTACCTGTAAACTATCACTCCCTGTATAATTACTTGAGTTTTAGTGACTGTGAAGAATATTCTTAGTTGTCAACTTGACTACATCTGGAATTAACTAAAACCAAAAAATGGAGGGGCACACCTGAAGGGATTTTTGCTTAATTTTAAGTGGGAAGACCCACTTCTAATCTAGATCTTTGAGGTGGTAAAACACACCTTTAATCCAGATCTCTTGAGGTGGGAAGACCCACATCCGATCTGGACCATGCCTTCTGATAGAAGCCTATATAAGGACATGGAAGAAGGAAGTTTTTGCTGTCTACCCTTTCTATATATAATTCTGTAAGTTCTGTTACTCTAGAGATCCCTGACTAATGCAGTAACAACAAAACATCTGGTGTTGACTGACGCCTGGTACACACTGAATGTTTTAGATATTCAAATGTCACCCTATATAATGCAAACTTTATAAGTTAATGATCATAAAGTTCCAGATCTTGGCCTGGCATCTTACCAATGTTCATATCCAACATAAGTGGTTCACTTCTTATTTATGTATTTATTTTGCAGTACTGAAATAGACCTCACATGCTAGGCAATACTTTACCACTGAGCTATATCCATAACTCTTTTTTCTTCTTCTTCCAAGTTGGGGGTGGGGAGGAAGTGAGGGTGTTCCCTAGTCTTGTCTCAAACCTGTGAACAGATTCAATCTTTCGCCTCTACCTTGGGACTACAGGCATACAACACTGTAAGTATCCAATAGCATTAGTTTTAGGGCTCAGAACTCTAAACTTATTTGCACACATGAGCTATGGCACATGAATACAGGTGAGAGGAAAGCCTGTAGGAATCCTGGGGATCCAACTTGGTAGCTCGCATTTTTACCTCTGAGGCACCTTGCCAGCTCAGGGCTCCAAGTTCTACAGCAATATGGTAGAAGGACCACTTGAGAAGTTACAGGGGGCCTGTAAATTGTTTTCAAAACAGAACAACTAGCCTGGTATTATTGTTCAGCAGGTAAACCATTTGCCTCCAAACCTGATGATCTGAGTTTGATCCCTGGAAGCACATGGCAGAAGGAGAGAGCAGACCCCCAAACTGTCCTCTGACCTCTATACACCTCCACATGGGCACACACACATAAATAAAAAACCTTAATTTTAAAAAGATTTCGTTTTATTTTCTCTATATATGGATGGGTGTTTTGCCTGTATTATGTGCATGCAGTGTCCAAAGAGGCCAGAAGAGGGCATCAGATCCTTCTGGAACTGGAATAACAGCGCTACTAGCCATCAAGTGAGTTCTAGAAACCAAACCCAGGTCCTCTGCAAGAGCAACAAGTGCTCTTAACCACTGAGTCATTTCTCCAGCCCCAAATAAATATAATTATAAAAATAAATAAAAAAAGAAAAACTACACAGGAGGACTGCTCTATGGCAGAAATTCTACATCGCTCTTCCTCAGGTTTCCTTGTTATGCCCAAATGAAGCCAGGGATATACAACAGTCATTGCTGCTTAAGTAGCATGATCATCAAAGCCGCTTGGGAAAACCACAAAAACAACCTCTTTCTACATATGTACCCATATCCGGCATCCGGCCCGTAGGAGACCATTCAGCAACTCTAGGTCCAAGTCTGCCAATATGCCAACGAAGCTATTGCTAGAGTTTCTAAATCTAGATAGCTAGGCATTAGAATCACTTCAGGAACCTGTTAAAAATAAGATAATGGGAAAGCCTCCACTCACAAAGACAGTAACTCACAGTGGCAGTATAGACAAGTTAAAGGAAGAAACGGTTACTCCGTAGTAAGTTCCTGAGTGGTTTGGTTTTTAGCAACATTACTAATAGTCATAGACAAGAGGGGTCAGAGTCAAATACCCACATGATTTGATACAGTCAAGTTTAAGAACTAGCCACCTATACGGTACTCTCCTCCGGTAGAATGGAAAGCTGAAAAAGAAAGAGAAAATGTATACCTGTTGGGAAGTCATTGTCCTGAGCCTCGTTTGTACCATCTATGAGAAAAAGCAAAGGAAAATAAAGGGAATTAATCTAATAATATGATGATAATGTCAAGTAGACTGACAAAAAGTAAATTCAGTGAAACAAACCCAAACCCTTTTTTTTAAAACCAAAATGGCAATTCCTTGAAATTTTAACAATATAAAAATATAAGCCAGGCGGTGGTGGCACACGCCCTTAATCCCAGCACTCGGGAGGCAGAGGTAGGCGGATCTGTGAGTTCGAGGCCAGCCTGGTCTACAGAGCGAGAGCCAGGAAAGGCGCAAAGCTACACAGAGAAACCCTGTCTCGAAAAACCAAAAAAAAAAAAAAAAAAAAAAAAAAACAACCAAAAAAAAAGAAAAAACAATATAAAAATATAAAACTATCAAGTCCTAGTTATTTTTCACTTTGTACTTATACCCTCCCCTTCCCCAACCCAGTTTGTTCCAAGTCCCATAGTGTCTACCTCCATAGTGGAACCCGCAGTCACCTCCTTCCATTTCTCTCCATTCCAAATCTACAAAGAAAGGTACAGACATTTCACCTCAGCAGCAAATTAGAGCCTTTCCACGAAGAAGTCTGGAGTGGCTTTTGTTGACTGTTGGTACTACAGGTTGAGCACTCAGGATCGCAAGTGTCTCCAGGTTAGATTTTGGAATAAGCCAAGTTTAAACAAAAACAAAGGCTGGAAATATAGCTACAGCTATAATATTTTTATTTACCAACTTTATGATTCCCCCCATAATTAATAGACAAATGTTTTTGTTTGTTTTTTTGAGACAGGGTTTCTCTACATAGCACTGGCTATCCTGGAAGACCAGGCTGGCCTCAAACTCACCGAGATCTACTTGCCTCTGGTGCCCAAGTGCTGGGATAAAGCTAACATTCTAAACTGTCTTTTGTGATGAGTTTTCTGGAGATGAATATAGGACAAGAGAGACAAAAATGGAGGGGTGCTTTTGGAAGCAGGGTGATCTGAGTGAAAACACAAAAGGACTCAAGAATCAAACCACAATGTCCAGTTATTAAAAACATACTTACTCAAAGTGAAAAGAAGATTCTAAAAAAATTTTTTCCCCAAAGAATTCAAAATGCAGTGTGAAGAGAAAAAATAACTAGAGAAGAAAGTAACAGCCAAATATAGGGGTTGGAAAGACAACTCAGAGGTTAAAAGCACTTGATACTCTTACAGAGAAGACCAAGGTTCAATTCCCAACACCTACAAGGTACTCATAAGTGTCTGTTACCCCAGTTCCAGGGATACAACGCCCTCCTCTGGCCTCTGCGGGCACTGCACACATGTGGTGTACACACATGCAGGCAAAACATTCATCTACATAATTTTGGTTTTGATGTTTTTGTTTGATGTTTTTGTTTTTCTGAGAAGGGGTCTCTATGCAGCTCTGGCTGTCCTAGAACTTGCTATGTAGGCAAGGCTGGCCTTGAACTCACAAAGACCCATTTGCCTCTGCCTCCTGAGTATTGGGATTATAGGTGTGCACCGCTATGCAAGGTTGATAGTTTTTTTTAAGAGGCTGGCATGAGGGGCTGAAGAGATGGCTCAGCGGTTAAGAGCACTGACTGCTCTTCCAGAGGACCCATGTTCATTTCCCAGCACCCATGTGGCAGCTCACAACTGCCTGTAACTCTAAGATCTGATACCCTCACACAGACATAAGCAGGCAAAACACCAATGCACATAAAATAAAAATAAATTATGTATTTTTAAAAAAAGAGGCTGGCATGATGGCACATGTCTGTAATCCTAGGCTGCCCATCAGGAAGGCAGCAAGTTAAAGGACCAACTGGGTTACACTGGGCTTCAGACCAATATGTACAATTTAACAACGTCTTAAAAAAAGGCAAGGAGGGGGTGTGAATGTGACTCAGGTCTTAATGGGCACAAGGGCAGGGTATGGCCCAGGCTCTACCACGGAAATGCCATCCTGGAAGAACTGTTCCAAGCCCAGGTGGAGCATGACAGCATTTTCACCGGACCCAAGTGATCTTTCCCTCCCGAGTTACTCCAGTACCCGACACATTCTCACTAGTTTTCCATCAAGATGTGGGACGTTTGTTACTGAGCAGGAAATGGACATCTACCACGTGACACCTTGAGGCTGTTAGCACTGGTCAGAAAAAAGCTCATAGATGGCCCCCTATCTCACACCATACACAACAAATTAACTTAAAATGGACAAATAATCTAAATGTAAGAATTAAACTCATGAAACTCAAAGCTGGGTGGTAGTGGCACTAGCCTTTAATCCCAGCACTCAGGCAGAGGCAGATGGATGGCTGAGTTCAAGGCCACCCTGGCCTACAGAGCAAGCAAGTTCTAGGACAGACAGCTACACAGAGAAATCCTGTCTCGATTTACACACACACACACACACACACACACACACACGCACACGCACACGCACACGCACACGCACACGCACGGTGGGTGGTAAACACAATGGGACAAAACATTTACACAGTATGTATCTGTGTCTCCAGGAAAGGTCTAGTTAGTACTTGCAGAACTTAATAGCTTTATAACAAAAGAAACAATAACGCCAATAAAAAGCATACAAAGATTTGAGCATCTTGAGATGGAATCTTTTTATAGAGAGAAAAAGAAAAGCCTTAAGCTTCTTTGAGAGGTCCACAATCCAGCCCAGGAAGAGCGTAGACTCCAGAACCCCAATGGACAGAAGGAATTTGTCAGTCTCGAAACGGGCCCCAGTCGGAGTTTACCTGCAATTGCCACGGATGTCTGGCTCTCGGAAGGCTTTACTTCTGGGGCCACTTCTCCCAGATCGGAATGCCTGAAAATTTTTCAGAAGAAAATTATCATTAAAATAATGTACTGCCACTTTCACCTAATCAAACTGGCTGCATAGAAAAATCTTCTGGGAAACTTTTAAAAACTATAAACTCAGGCTGTTGAAATGGCTCAGTGGTAAAGAGCACATACTGCTCTTCTACAGTTCCCAACACCCACACATACACATATAAGAATAAAATCTTTTCAAACTGTAAACTCTGGGTCCATCCCAGATCCATGAATCAGCCCCCTGCGAGCTGGTCCTGGGCATCTCTGCTTCTGAAGTACTCTCTAGGACTCCAATGTACAGCCCAATAGAGACACACTAGCCTGGAAATAGACCCACGGCTGCTGGCCACTCAGAGAGATGTAAAAGCATACATACCCTTTGACCAGTAATTCCACTTCTATCCTAAGGGAAAAATGAAGACTTAGTTACAAAGAGGCTGGTGTGAGCTTGACATGCAATAGCAAAAGCTGCCCAAGTCCAGTGGCAGGAACCTCAGTCCTGTTCTGCAATCAGCACACAACACTCTCTGGGCTTCTTTTTGTGAGCAGAGCAATTTTAGATGAACTATTATGGGAAGACACTAAGGGCATGCAAATTAGTAGGGACTAAGTTACAGAATAATGCAATATAAATATGATTGAATGACGTACGTTTAGAGAGAGATCTAGAAATGTGTCCATCACAAGCTAGGGGACACAAACAAACATGTCTATAGTGTGAACTATGTGTGGTAGCACAGACCTGTAACCCCAGCACTCAAGAGGCTGAGGCAGGAGTATCTCAATTTCAAGGCCAGCCTGGTGACATAGCAAGACCCTATCTCAAACAAACACACAGTGCAGACAAGAAGGGGTGATCTTGTTTGTTTCCTTGTGTGCATGTGTGTTGCTGAGGTACAAACATAGGGCTATCCACATGTTAAATGCTCTACCACTAATCTATAACTGCCCCCCAACCCAACACTATAGAAGCTGAGGAAGGAGAATTATGAGTTCCAAGCCCAAACAAGGCTACAAAGATAGAACCTGTATCCAAAAATAAAATAAAAATTTTATCATAGAAATAACAAACACGAGCCAGAGAGATGGCTCAGCAGGTCAAGGCGCTTGCCACACAAACCTGACACTTGAGTTCCATCCTGACAACCCACGCAGCGACATTCCTACACCCCAGAAGTCCTCTGGCAAGAGGTGAGAGCTAAGGCAGAGACAGGGGACTAGGCCAACCAGTCTCTGGTAACAAAACAGCAGAGGAGAGACCCCATCTCAAAAGCAAGATGGAAGAAGAAAGCAGACTCTGGAAGAGCTGTCCTCTGATTTCCACATGAGCACTGTGGCGTGAGAGTGCCTGTACATACATACACACACACACACACACACACACACACTCATGCATGGCCACCCACATGAGCACACATGCACACATACATGCATATGTGCACACACACATAAACACAAGTGCATACATGCATTCACACACACAATTTTTTAAAAACGAGAGCAAGTAGCCAGGCAATGGTGGTACACACCTTTAATCCCAGCACTGGAGAGTGGGGCGGGTGAGAGGCAGCATGGACACAGAAGCAGAAGCAGGTGGATCTCTGAGTTCAAGGCCAGCCTGGTCTACAGAGTGAGTTCCAGGACAGCCAAGGGCTACACAGAGAAACTTAGAAGAAAAAGAGAGAAAAGAAAAGGAAAGAAAAGAAAAGTGGGAACAAGCAAACCTGAGGTGAAGATTCTGACTGAAGATGAACACACAAATACTGGGCAGTATTTACAAAACTTGCAAGGGCGCTGGGTTGAACTGTGACCTCTATATTCATACTCAAGTGTGAGCACATGCCTATGTCTCTGTACGTCTGCTATACGTGTCTGTTTCCTAACCGTGTCTGCTGAAAGAGGCGGCAAGCAAAGACAGAGCAGAGCACTGTGGTGTCCTCTAACGTCCCTCCACACAGGAGAACTCGGGACCCCTGGAGATGCTGGCACTGCGGTGTCCTCTAACGTCCCTCCACACAGGAGAACTCAGGACCCCTGGAGATGCTGGCACTGTGGTGTCCTCTAACATCACTCCACACAGGAGAACTCAGGACCCCTGGAGATGCTGGCACTGTGGTGTCCTCTAACGTCCCTCCACACAGGAGAACTCAGGACCCCTGGAGATGCTGGCACTGTGGTGTCCTCTAACATCACTCCACACAGGAGAACTCAGGACCCCTGGAGATTCTGACTAACACCCAACTGAGGGGGAGAAAAGGACCCGAGTGTCTAGGTGTAAACAACAGAAACTCTGCCAAGTCTTGGGGACATCTCTGGATTCATGTAGTCGCTCAAGGGACTCCCACTGGCCAAAGCTGGAATAACACAAGCAGGAAAAGAATGAAATACAGTAATTAAAATGACAGAGTTGGATTGGTGGCTCAGTGATCAGGAGCACTCACTGCTCTTGTAGAGGACCTGGGTTCTATTCCCAACACCTACATGGTGCTCCAGTTCCAGGGGGCCCTCTTCTAACACCAAACAGGCATATGGTGCACATAAGACACATACGCAGGGAAAACACTCATATGTATAAATAAATCTAAAAAAGAAAACACTAAAGACCAGTTCAGTAGTGGTGGCGCACGCCTTTAACCTCAGCATGCAGAAGGCAGAGGCAAGCAGATCTCTGTGAGTTCACCTAGGGCTTCACAGTGAAACAAACAAGAGAAACCAAAAACAAAACACAGAAAAGAATCAGTCCGTACAGGCAATAAATAGCTCAAGCACTCTATATAGCAGGGGGGACCCTAGGATGACTATGGCTTATAATAAGTTTTGGTTTTACTCAATTACTGGGTAAGCCTCAGTAAAACATTTCACTATTAGGATAAGGATTTATACTGTATCAAGCTGATAATAGATAAATAAATATTAAAAAAAAATCTCAAGCACTCTTGCTCACAACAGAATAATAAATATGGAGGAGTTTTGACATTAATTGTGCCATCAAGCCCAGTGGTGGTGGTACACACCTTTAATCCTAGCATTTGGGAAGCAGAGGCAGGTGGATCTCTGATTTCTAGACCAGCCTGGTCTACAGAGTGAGTTCCAGGACAGCCAGGGCTACACTGAGAAATCCTGTCTCCAAAACAAACCAACCAACCAACAAAACAGAATAGGACCCTTCAACTGCTGAAATCAGAATGGAGTCAAGTCAAAGTGAATGGTCAACAGGGCTCATGAGGAGTGAGCTGCTCACTCAGTCTTAGAGTGTCCCTAGGAAGGGAAGAAAAGCCACCGGTAATGACAACAGCGCTCACCACGTGAGACTTCCTGAGTTGATCCACACTAATCTTAATAATTAAGTCAGGCCTTAGTGTGTACCCACTGTGGTCTCCAAAGGAAGGACCTAATACCCTGGCAGTGTTCTGTCAAGAAGGCAAAACTAGGCCATCATAACAAACTGAAAACAAATGACATTATACCAGAGGGTAAGAGATAAAGTATCTCAAATGTCATAAGACAAAGGAAACATTCCAGAAAACCAAACACAACAGCTGATCCTAGAGTATATCCTGAAGAAGAAATTTTGGGGTGAAATAAAAATATGGGTCTAATCAACGTTAACTATGCTATGGTTATATAACAGGGTATCTTGTTTCTTAGGAAACAGACACCGAATTGCTTAAGGGAACGCACCAGGAAGACAGCAACCGATTCTCTCTACAGACTGGATGTACTTGGTCCCTCCAAGTTCAGTATGCTGAAAGTCTAAAACCAGCGTCATGGTATTTGGAGCTGGGCTTTGGGAAGGTGATTAGAAAAGCTCTCAAGAATGGGATTACTGAATTACAAAAGAGGCCCTCGGCGAAAAGGAGAGCCTGGCTGGGATGTAGGCCAATGGAGTGCACTGCATGGCATGTGAAAGCCCTGGTGTGAGAGCAGGACTACATAGTGAGACCCTGTCTCCAAGCAGAAAAGGAATAGAGTAAGTAGGTCAGCAGATGCTCAGCAGGTTGAGGTACCTGCTGCCAGGCCTGACAATCTGAGTTCAAGCCCTTCAATCCACGCAACGGAAGGAGAGAACAAGTTGTCCCCTGACTTCCACATGCCTGCATGCACACAGGTGTACACACAAGTACACATGCACTCATGCAGGTACACACACAAATACACTAAATAACTAAAACATAAAAGAAGTGTGTCTGGTTAAACATAGTTCCTCAGAACACAAGCTGAGCCTGGCTCAGAGGTCCAAAGACATTGCCAGAGGATCTCAGCAGGGATGAGCCAGACAACAGGTTTCTACAGCTCAGGACTTTGGTCCAGCCATGTTCCGAGGCTGGACACTCACCCTAGGACATGCATTCTGGCCAGTACTCAAGACAGGAATTTGCCTTCACCCTTTCTGTTCCACACAGGGAACAGTAAGCAAGCAGCAGTCAAAGGATGGCCTTGCAATTGCGCTCACAGGAAAGTGTGTGTGTTGGCAAGCTCTGGGCTCCATTCTCACTGGCAAACCATGTCACAACTGAGATATACAAACCATGCCTTGTGGATCCATCACTGCTCCTGAAATACCAGGTTTAACTGGAGGCAGAGCCAGGCTTGTGGCTACAGCCTTTAACCTACAGCTTCACTAAATACATGATGCCTTCTAATAGTTTAATGGACTGATTGTATCCTCAAAATTCTTACACTAAAGTCTTCACCAACGTGATTATATTTGGACTTGAGTTCTATATGTAAGTTAAGATCAAAGAAGGCTACAAGGTGAGGCCTTCATGTGATGGGACTGGTGATCTCTAAGGGGGGGGCCACCCTCCCCTGAAGACACAGAGAAAAGGCCCCCACCAGAAACCAAATCTCATGAACCTAACCTGCTATCTCAAGATCTGTGATAAAGTCAACAGCTGTGACTGATGCGTCCAGTTTATGGTATCCCAGAGCAGCTCCTGTGGCTCCCAAACCCATACTACAAGGTGGAAAGCAGGGTTCAGAGAAGTGTGATAAAGACTGTCCACATCATCAAATATGAGCTACTGCCTTTCTAGTATACTTTGTTATGGATGATTTTGCAAAGTTTTTCAGCTTTTAAGCCCACAGTGAGTGTGTACGTGTACCCATCAGCCCACAGTGAGCACGTGTACCCATCAGCCCGCAGTGAGTGTGTACGTGTACCCATCAGCCCACAGTGAGTGTGTACGTGTACCCATCAGCCCACAGTAGGCACAAACGAACAAAGGAAGGAGCTTGACTTAGCGTAAGCACAGCTAACCACTCATCAACTGTAAACATCAAGGTTACTAACTGCTTTGGATTATAAAGAACACCTTTATTTTTTAAGTTCCCTTCCTCTTATGCCCTACATTTCCAGAAAGTGGCAAGGTTCCTCTCCTCCTAGGATGCTTACTGGGGACC